CTGATAGTGTTAGGAAGGAGTTACTACTCAAGTGTGTAGCAGCTGTCAATACAGTAGCCCAAGAAAAAGAGTGAGCCATTTTACAAGTACTGTATATGTATGATCAAATGTACAAGTATCTATCCTCTGTTCTTCTGGTTTTCACCTGTTTAGTACATGTGCATGGTTTTAATAAGTATTAAATGCTATTACAATGTACGTGTAATTATGTGCCTGAACATTTGCATGTTTGTGACATGTTTTTGAGATACAGAAAGTTTTCTCAGAAATACATGTAGTATATTGCATGTACATGTACTTGTACATGTATATCATTGTTATTATTATTATTTCTCATATCTCTATCAGGAATTATTACTGAATTATTATTACTGAAGATATGAGGACTGTACTAACCAGACCCGGGGTCAATTACAATTGTAATTGTAATTGAAGGGTCAATTACAATTACAATTACGTAATTGTAATTGTAATTGAGCTTCAGCTTATGTAATTGAAGTTTTAGTTATATTTGAGTTAACTAACTACAGAAAGTACAGATGCACAAAGAAATGATCTTTATGTACTTTGGTATCTTTGGGTGTTTTTGATACTGTAATGTACCAAAATAACTTCTTTTTAACACATAGTGTAAGCACTGCAAAGTATGTTGTTACAATACATGTACATAAAATTGTAATTGTAATTGAAAATGTAATTGAAATTACACTATCATGGTGTAATTGTAATTGTAATTGAGCCTATTCTTGCAAAAGGAGTGTAATTGAATGCGTAATTGTAATTGAACTTTTGTAATTGACCCCAGGTCTGGTACTAACACTTGAGGATGACATTGATTTCCAACCTAACTTTAAATCAAATTTTAAAAGAACATTACAAGAAGCGAAGAGTCATGATCCTGACTGGGACCTTGTGTTAGTAACAGTTTAAATCAATAGTTTATTTGTCACTTTTTAGTTATGTTGGTCGTAAAGAGCTCAGTCCAAATGTTGAGACTATTATTCCAGGAACAAAGGACCTTGTAATACCTCGGTACTCATATTGGACGTTAGGTTATATAATATGAAATAGAGGAGCTGAGAAACTGATAGCTGGGAGACCTTTTGATAATATACTACCAGTTGACGAGTACATACCAATAATGTATAATGACCATCCTGAGTAAGTATATAGTTCATTTAAAAAAATAGCAAAGCTTAATTATGTTGTCATCTTCATAATTTGTCATGCCAATAGCTTTTTGATCTAAAATTATTCCCAATTTCCTCATGCTATGTAGAAAGTTTGAGGGGATTCTGACTTAATTTTTGCCATTTTTAATAGTTAGCAAAATTTTGGAATAAAGCATGGACTAAAGCCCATGGGTTTTTATTGCTTTGAAATCACCCCCAATATTTATTACATTTTCTGATACATATTGATGTTGTTTC